GTGAGAACTTAGCTACATTAGAGTTCATAATTTTTAACTGTAAATTGCATACGTGGAAATATGTTCCAGTGTTGGCCATGCATTTTATAACCCTTAAGACAATAAATAGTTCGGATTTACATCAATGATTAAGACAGAGCAGTCCTCTCAAACACTTTTCTATCTTGATTTTGGAAATTTTTAATTTAGTGGTGTTTGGCTTGGAATAGCAAACTGATCATATTCACCTACTTCATGTCCCAAATCCCTTTAAACAATTCTAGTAGAGAAGGGAAGAAAGTAAATGAGATCGGGAGGAATACACAGGGAACACTTCAGTGCTATTTGTGATAAATTCTTTCTCAAGTTGGATGATGGGCACATGGGTGTTCATCGTGGTAGAATCTATACTGTGTGCGTGAAATAGTTCGTACTGTATCTTGATAGAAGAGTAAATCCTTAAGTGACTCTAGGAAACACAAAGGGTGCTATTGATGAACAAAAGTGGAGGAATTTCTAAAAGAAGAAAAATAAATGAGGTTAGATTGTTAGAGAATCAAGAACAAGAAAGCCCATGTCCCAGATCAGAGCAGGAGAAAACTACTAAATACATAAAAATTCCAGAGATATTTTAATCTTAGGACAAATACAGAGAATAGGAGATCATGGGCGAGCCATTAAAAGAATGAATTGGAAACAGCTGAGCCTTACTTTCTTGGAATTGAGGCTCAGCAGAAAGAGTTGAGGTGTAAGGGTTGGACAGGGAAACAATCTAAAATAGTTTTATATCCACTAAAGACATCAGAGTAAAAAAAAAAAAATCTTAAAGGGAACAGCTGATTGTGGCACTGATCTCAGGCTAAAAATAAGAGCTCATGCTTCATTAGAAGGAATTCTGACAAGGCAGGACCCTAGGGCACTTAGCACCATAGGTCCTCCTACCGAGGAAAGGCACCATAATTTGATCTTAGATTCAACAGGTAAACAGGAATTTGTAAAAGAAAAAAAAAAAGGACAACCAAACATTAAACATTTGAGGGATACTTAAAACACCACAATGGTGGGGCGCCTGGGTGGCTCAGTTGGTTAAGCGACTGCCTTCGGCTCAGGTCATGATCCTGGAGTCCCGGGATCGAGTCCCGCATCGGGCTCCCTGCTCGGCGGGGAGTCTGCTTCTCCCTCTCCCACTCCCCGTTTGTGTTCCCTCTCTCGCTGTGTCTTTCTCTGTCAAATAAATAAATAAAATCTTGAAAAAAAAAAAAACCACCACAATGTACACCAAATCCAACAAACAAGAATGAACCCCTAAGGGAATAAAATAAACTTTGTAATAGTCTCTAAAAGACTAATGAGGCAATTGCATCTATCACAACACGTTACTATAACAAAGACAGATCCTAGAAATTTAAAAATAGGATTACTTATGCTTAGTTGATGGGCTGAATAGCAGAATGGACACTACCAAAGGCTAAAAAGCCGAGGGAACTTTCCCAGAATGTAGCACAATTGAGCAAGCGCTAGGATGGCTGGGGCAAGAAGCTAGCCAGCATTCACGGTATAGGCTACGTTGTCCCCTTGATACCAAGAGCCTTCCCTATAGAGAGGCCTTTTGATGAGCTTTCACATAAAACACAAATATCCTCACACTTGGGGACTATTCTGAGACATCCATCCATATACTTCTTTCCTAAAGTTTCTAGTTGCCAGGTTTCTTGTAGTTGTCGAGTGTCTGATCCTCTGGTCAAACCATTAGACATCATCTCCATACATATGTTCATGCAAATTGAACAAGAGAGACTGCTCTCGGTTCTGCTGTCTGGGCTCATTGCCCTGCCCCGCTGCAGGTTAAGCATGCACAGCAGCACGTTAGTGTCAAGAGGAAGTGGTATCTACAAGATTAGACTCAGGCTGGACAAGTACATTTCATGAGCTCAGGCTCAGAGCACTTACACTGCACACACTGTTTACCTTCCCTCAGCCCACATCTGTGACCTTATGGAGGTTACCTAATAACCAGAGAAAAAATTCAAACCTGGTTTACAGGTGGTTCCATGTGGTATGGCGGGTCCCAGCCAGAAACAGAGTGCTGGCACAGATCAATTATTATTATACTTATGAATAAATCAGGCAACAAAAGAGTTGCCTAGTATCACTGGTCAGAGTCAAGTGACAAGAGCTGGGGTTGTGATACTAACATTTTGGATTTTATGGTCAAAAATCTTTTTAGCACATAAGCAATTGTATACTAAAAACACTTCCAAAAACACTTGTAGAGAGTACAGGGAAGAAAGAATGCCAGAGAAAAAGGTCTCAAGAATGCCTTTTCAGTCTTGAACATTCTTTATGTATATAAATTATAAGAGAAAAGTTTTGTCAAAACATTTATTTCTTCCAGTTAGAAAATCTTTCTTTTTTTTAGAGAGAGAGAGATTGGGGGAGGGGCAGAGGGAGAGGGAGAGAGAGAATTCCAAGCAGGCTCCAGGCTCAGCAACACGGAGCCCAACATGGGATCCATCTCACGACCCTGAGATCATGACCTGAGTCAAAACCAAGAGTTGGATGCTTAACCGACAGCCACCCAGGCACCTCAAAAAAAAAAAAAAAAAAAAAAATCTTTATTCACGTGGGTAGTACCTGAGAATGTGCCTGAGAAGTTTAAGCAGAGTCTTAAGCACTAATGAATCAGGCTGTTAATTTTCACAGAAATTTACTGAATATTCTAACAGGAGGTAATCTTTTTGATGACTGGAGCTGAACTTTATTTATGGGGGGAGAAAACCCTTTGTTTATAAGTCCTCCCTCAAAAAGGAAAAAGGTTTAACCTAAAAATGAATGATAATACCCTTGGGAATTCTTAAGCAGGGTAACTGTAATTTGTGGACCTGTCACTAGGGGGAGCGGAATTGTTGGGTTAGGAATTCATGCCTCAGAACTTCCAAAGACCATTCAGTAGAAGTCAATTTTTCTTTGTAAACAAGTTTAATTGAATAGTAGTATATATATGTTGATCAAATAAGTTTTATTAGGGAATGTTATAAGAAATTTTCATTAACTTTATACAATAGTAAAACATTTCAAGCATTGCTGAGCAATTCTTAGTAATTCTAATTCTAAATTGGATTTCACCAAATCTAGGGAGCTCATTTGCTAACATTTTCCCTTTTGAACTCAAATAGGGCAAGTAGTAAATCAAAGTCTCTGACACCAGACCCCACATCCTCATGTTACCTACCATACCACACACCACATTCGCCTTTGTATCTTTGATATTTCTGTTCCAATCTTAGAAATACAAATCTATGCATGTACGTTTTTATTCTAGAAATTAAAAACAAAACAAAACAGGCTCAGAGGGAAGATGTTTCCTTAAGGTTGTATATAATCCTCTGAGCAGCAGATTCGAGGACATGGTAATATCCTTCATGCATTTCTCAAAGTACCAGCCTTTCACAGTGATGGTGAGCAATCCTCCCACCTGTTTCACATAGAACATTAAAATGGAGACTTTCCTAATAAGGAGACTCTCCCCTGTACCCCCTCCAATAAAGAGCATTTGGCTCCATGTTTCCAGTGTTTTCCTGATCTCTCTAGGACCATCCTGTCAGGTCTTCTAGTGGAGGTATATTAATTTCCTCCTCAACTCAAAAGAACCACACACAGATTAGGGTAGTTATATCTTGTGTGTCATGAAATTATTTTACTTTGTTTTTTTGCTTTATTTTATATTGGCAGGAACTTAGAATTCATCCTGCTAATACCCTTATTTTAACATAATATCTGAACGTTGAAAATAATGGTTTAGCCACAAAGCAAAAGCAAAATTTGGAAAACATATAAATATATATCAAAAAGGCCTTTAGTATAGTCTCTGAAGACAGAATCGATAGTGTTGATTTTCTAATTCGGTGGTTCTTAATGTGCTTAGATCATAATACCCTTTGAGAATCTAGTGAGGCTATGGATTACTTCCTAGAAAAACACCATAAGCACATATACACAAAAAAATTGCACATGATTTTAAAAAGTACACTGTATTTCAGCCCTCTGAAACCTTTTCATAATGAAGAATTAAGAGAGAGAGAAGGCAAAATCATGGTTTTAAATATTGAAGAATTTTAAATTTGTGACTTTTAAAACATTCTACTTAAAAAAATCTTACCCTATCTAGATGATTCACAGTAGCCTAAAAGAGTAACTTAAAAATAATACATACTGGGGCGCCTGGGTGGCTCAGTTGGTTAAGCGACTGCCTTCGGCTCAGGTCATGATCCTGGAGTCCCGGGATCGAGTCCCGCATCGGGCTCCCTGCTCAGCGAGGAGCCTGCTTCTCCCTCTGGCTCTCTCTCTCTCTCTCATTCTCGCTCTCTCAAATAAATAAATCTTTAAAAAAAATAATAATACATACTAAGGAAAAGTGCATGTTTTCTTCAGAGAACAAATGCATGAAATGATCCTTTTCTGTGGGGAAAAAAAAATTTTAAGAAAATTAACTGTACCAGTCCCCCAATAATAGCAAATTTAGTGAGTGATTTTAATGGCATAATAATTAAGTGAATCAGCATACATGAACTTAATTTGTATTCCTCTGTAAAGTTAAAAACTTTCTTAACTTTTTAAAGGTATACTCTCTCAGCAACTCTCAAATGTGCAATACAGTATTATTAACTATAGTCACCATGCTGTATATTATATCCCGGTGACTTATACAAGTAGAAGTGTATACCTTTTGTCCACCTTCCTTAACATATTTTAAGCATAATCACACTTACAATCTTTAGGCTACCCTGCCTCTGAAGTCTAAGTATAGTAGTTTGAGACAACCACCAGAGAGTTGTTTGCATTTACAAACTGTAGTTTCTTGCCCCAGAAATGTTAAGCTTCTGGAGTGTGTTTTTGAAAGCTTCTGGAGGGTATTTTTGAAATTCCTTAATTAATTTCTTTTTTTTTTTTTGCTTGTTTCAAAGAGATGCTGAGGTTACTATTAATCTGAAGAGCCAATTGGTGAAGATACTGAACTGTCCTTACTGTCCTTTCCTTTTTTCTCCAAACTCTTTGTCAAGTGTTGGCAAAATGTGAAACCTTAAAAAAAAAAAAGGTTGGAAAAGCAAGTAAAAAAAACAAAACAAAAACCCTGAAATGTACATATCCAAACTGGCCTTATGCTGGACTTGTTTTTTTCCAGAATATGGTGGATGATATTTCTTATTTCTTCTTTGCCTCAGAGTAATAAAACTGCTTCTTTACAAAGTGCTTCATAGCAAAACACATACTGTCTTATTTTACATACATTGTTTCATTTGATCTTCCAAATGTCTCCATAAAGTAGGAGAAGCAAGGAACTCCTACCCCAGTTTCAAGACAAATACACAAGGAATTTAAGTGATATGGCTAATAAATTGGAGGTATATGGGAGGAAAAAGTTTTCCTTGACCCTCTTAGGGTCCCTGGGCTGGGTCTCAAAAGTAAACTGGTGAAGACAGATTAAGAGGAGAAAAGCATACAAATTAAGTTTTGTGTGCCACAGGAACCTCCACAAGGAAATGAAAACTCAAAGAAACAGTCCTCTGCACTTTTATGCTAGTTGTGGAAGAATATGATAGGCTGAGTATTAGATAATTGTAATAAACTAGGGAAAACTTAGCACAGCCTGTTTGTTCCAACTCTTCTTGGTGTCCCTTTGTTTTCAGAGATAAAGGTGCTCCTTACCTTGAATGTAAGGAGGGCACCTCTAACAGGACGGTTTTATGGCTTTTATCAGGGGAGATGGGCAAGGGGGGAGGAGGTCAGGGTGACTTTCGTGCTTCTGCCATGTTCTCAGACTCAGTGTAAAGTATCCAATATGCCAAGTGTCATATTTTGGGGTGGCATGTCATGAACCCCATCAGAGGCATGATCAAAACACAAGTAATTTCATGAACATGAGCCGTGCTTTTTTCACTATTCTGTGAGCTCTCTTAGCATGTACAACTAAGCCTCTCCTGATGCTCATCTACAGATGAAGACACCTTTGCCTCGACATACACCAAAGCAATTCTCAATCAGAGTAGGCTTTGAACTCCTGAAGGTCATCAATTTTAGGGTTTTTATCTATCTTCACTATAACGGCTTTTACTTAAACACACCTATGGTGATACCCTGGAATTATACTGCCTTTGAAAATTTAAACTCCTGCACCCAACTCTCTATCCAGAATCTACTGTCCTTCAAATAACAATATAGTAGTAGCTTAAAATGAGTGTATACCATGTGCCGAACTTTTTGTACTTTTTCCTCGTTAAGTCTTCAGTAACCTCAGTTCTAGGTGTGTAAGTATTACTAGTATCAGCCCTACCTTAGTTCCCACTATTATATACTGGCTTTAGAGCTGTCACAATTCTTGTCATTCTCAGAATGTCAAATCCTCACGTGCCACTTTTCTTTGTCCATCACCTCTTCTTTCCTCTCCCGAGTTAGACACAGAATCAAACATTTGAACCACTTTCTCACGAACGCATGTGTTCCTATCCTGCAACGCCCGATGACCCAAAATCCCAGCTCTTCATCAATGCTTGAATCTGCCTTTTCCACTCTGGCATTCAAGTCAGTAAGTGCTGCCGACAAAATCATACTGTACAAACTGGCACCACTAAAATTTGTAATCTACGTCATCTGGGTGCTTAGAATTCCTCATCAGTTCATTTACTTGTCCTTTCTCAGCTGCTTTTCCCATTCCCCTGACTTTTTCAAACCATTCCCCTCTTCTCACAGGATCCATTCATTGGTCCAACTCCTCAGACAATATTTCCTCTTCCTACTTCGTCAAGGAAAATGAGTGCATCACTTGACAATCTCTCTCAACTTTCCACCTTGAACCTACACATTTATTTACATCCACACGCACTGTCATCTTTATTCCAATATCACTCCTCCTGTGCCAGGCACACCCGTGGTCCGTGCCCTTGAGCACATGTCCTCTGCTCTCTTCTCAGCAGATCAGTTTACTGGAACCTCTGACTTGACTCAGCACCACCCCAATTATTGTCCACTTTTCTCTCTTCCCCTTATCGTACACCCACTCTTAATTTCTTTATCCATTCATTCCCTTTCATCCCACTGCAACCTGGTTTTTGTCTCTCAAACTGCTGAAACAGCTCTCTACTAATTGGCTCCAGAGAGTTGGTGAAGTCCGAATCTGCCACATGGAGTCCTCCTCCTTAAAATGCTACATCTCCTTGGTTTTATGGGCATGACTTCACTCATTCCCCTCCTCACATTGCTTCTCTTGGTTTTATGGGCATGACTTCACTCATTCCCCTCCTCACATTGCTTCTCTGTCTCATTCATAGGTTCCTCTTTACTCACCCCTTGACTATTGGTGTTCCTTAATGTTTTATTCTTGGATCCCTATTTTACCCAATGTACTGCAAATGACCTCAGTTTCCACGTGCTCCCAGATATTTAGTTTTAGCTCTTATCTCTCCCCTGAGCTTCAGTGGTGCACATCCAGCTACCCTGCTGAAAAGCTCAACCAGGGTGTCCCACACGACACATATCTTAAATCAAAAGGCCAAGCCGGATTCAATCATCTCCCTGGGGGTGCCTGGGTGGCTCAGTTGGTTAAGTGTCTGCCTTCAGCTCGGGTCATGATCCCACGGTCCTGGGTGGAGCCCCACATTGGGCTCCCTGCTCAGTGGGGAGCCTGCTTCTCCCTCTCTCTCCACAGCTCTCCCTGCTTGTGCTTTCTCTCTCTGTCAAATAAATAAATATATAATCTTTAAAAAACCATCTCCCTAAACACGTTCCTCTTCCTGTTTTTCTGTCTGGATTGGCAGCGGTCACCCCACCTGGAAGCTTGAGAGTCATCTTTGAGTCACCTTTCTTCCTGAGCCCCAGAAGCAGTCAAGTGTTGCCAATTATACTTCCTATATATTTCTCAAACCTGTCCCATCCTCTCCATCCCTCTTGCCTCTACCATAGTACAGGACTAAATCATTTCTCACTTGGACTACTGTAATATCTCCTAAGAATATTGCCAACCCATTCTACATACTGCTGCTAAGCATGCTCTATTTAAAATATAAATCCAGCCATATAGGGGTGCCTGGGTGGCTCAGTCGTTAAGCGTCTGCCTGCGGCTCAGGTCATGATCCCAGGGTCCTGGGACCAAGCCTTGAGTCGGGCTCCCTGCTCGGCGGGAAGCCTGCTTCTCCCTCTCCCACTCCCCCCTGCTTGTGTTCCCTCTCTCTCTGTGACTCTCTCTGTCAAATGTATAAATAAAAAATCTTAAAAAAAAAAAAAGTACAGCCCCATCACTCTTTTTTTTTTTT